AAACTTACTTTTCACTTGGTAGTGAAGTCTTCCTTTTGAAAAACTGTGCGTTTATTAAATCTTGAAAATCCCGCGCCCACAACAAGCCCTTCCCTAAATTTACTTACAGAGCGTAACTAAACTATTGCCAAAAATTGGATTTCGAAGCGGACCCTTAATATACCTTAATAATAAATTTCAAACCCTACAAGCTCAATATGAAAAACATTGAACAACTATTTTTTTTTCGATTTCAAAAGCAATTAGAATTCCTTATATAGCGCAATTAAGATATTGCCAAAATCAGGGGACCGTAATACAAAGCACCACGGGGTTAGTTTGCCCCACAAAAAGTAGTTTCGTTTTTAATTTGTTTTTTAAAGAGGATCAATTAAAAGTCAACTTGGCCAATTTCAAATTTACAAAAAATTGAGACGGACCCTAGTTTTTTTAGTATTTGTGGGGGGTTTAGTAATAGGAGGAAGGGATTATTTCAAGCTGAAGATTCAGGTGCCTGGCACCCTGGTGGCTCTCTGGCGGATTTCTGGGACATGGCCTGTGGGAAACTTGGAGCTCGTTGTGGGAAACCGATGTGGAATTCGAAATCTAAGGCCCGAAAACCCGCAGATTTACCCTCCGGTATATAGTTTAACATACTGTAGCTATTGAACATTTCCATTTATAGTGGATTTTCCCATGAAAAGTGGTGACTTTCCACAGTTATGTTTGTTTACCAGAGGGTAAATGGTTATTCCTATACTACACAGCGTATGCGTCTCGCCGCCAAAAAGTTGATGGATGACCCGGGTCACCCAGTACCATGCTTTGACAAAACTGTAGCACCTGTAATATGATACAAAATGGTGTGTACATATATAAACACATATAAAATTAAATAAACATAAATAAAGATATATATATATATATATATTACACATATACATGTACATGTACACACATACACAGTACGCCGTAGGTATGTCTAATAGACTAGCTTTATACAGATCATCTATGTTTTGACATCGGGTGATCCAACAGCTCCGTCACACCTTGGATTTCAGCCTTCCCAAGGCACGGTGAGCCCGTTGCTTTGGAACGGCTAGGCGTGATCGATTCGAAATCGTGCATGCTGTGTACATGCAAGGTGGAACACTATAGGTTAGCTAGGTTGGTGTATAACTCCAACAACTTGTGTTTATGGTGGATATCTCATTATCTATGTATGATATATTATATATATATTATACAGACCGTAACACGTATACTCATGGCCGAAGCCTATATATGCACGTATACCTTGTGGGGCACCACCTTGTGACGAGGCCGATGCTCATGGCCGAAGCTTTCGAATCGCTTGGATTTTGAGGCCTCCGTAACGGCCAACGGCCAACGCCCGCCACGCGTTGCGTTGGCGTTGGAAAGTCCCGCCGCAGCTGCAGGTTTTGAAGAAGATGGATATCGTACATTGCCGTAGATGTTTGGCAGCTCTAGAGGAGGACAGATGCATGTCAAATGATGTCAAATGTGCATTTCTCTGAAAATATAGAGGTAGCCCCAGATCTCATGATTGTCCATGTCCAAGCCATTGAAATTGCCGGGTATCCCGGTATCCCATTCCTGGGTTTCCCCCTCAGGATTCCATAAGACGTGGAGTACCCTTCAGTGGAGTCACACTGGTGTCCTGGCAGAAGACGGCTGATGTTCTCAACACGGCACACCTGGCGAGCGCTGAGGTGATTGACCTGAAAGGTTTTAAGTGGTCGGACGCACAATTTAGTGCGGTCGGAGTCTCGTTGTGAGGGAGGGGGCAGTGCTGCAGGATCTATGGAAAACACTGATGTTGGCTCTGGTTGATCTTTACTCAAGACAGCACATGTATATATGGTCATTTTAGAGCACTAGGTTTTTGAAAAGGGGCATGGATCAAAGTTGGGTCCACTCCAAAAAATGATAGTCTAGAATAATATCTGGAAAATCATCATATCTCATCATATATATATATATACATATTGTCATATATATATATACATTATATTATCATAATATATTACCATACATATATATATATATTATCATATATCTTATCATATATATCATCGAATCATATATATATATGTATATACATATGATCATATATATGATCATATATATTATCATATATATATATATATTATCGTATATATTATCATATATATTATCAACTATTATCACACTATTATATACATTGTCATACATAACATTCTATCATATAATATCATATTTATTATCACTATACATTTACATGGTTAAAAGTGTTCAGACTCGGAGGGCTCCAACGTACCACCTTTGAGGCCTGGACACTCTCAAAGATGGTGGCTTGCAGGACCAGTGATCGCTGGTCGATGGTGTTGAGCAAGTCAAATACTGGTATCCGGCCAATGCATGGTGAAACACAGTAATCATGAAAAAAACATACAATATAATAACTAAAGCATGGTGTGTGTGTATATACATAATAAACATGTGTATGTGTATATATAATGATATTTATATATAGTTACATGCATGTTTTTGGTTACATTGCGATCTTTCTCCATTCATTTTACCAGGTTGCCAATTTGCTTCCGGGACATACCCAGAACCCCCCATGACAGGCTGAACATGTGCAGCACTATGCAGGAGCCACCTTTTGCCAGAGACTTGTCACCGAATACTCTTCGTCAGGCGCCTGATGCGTCTGCTTCGTTGGGGAATGGAAACCAAACCCAGATCCCTTCCCCCTAGAGATCAATATCATTCAGAGAAGCTCCAGTTGGTGTTTGGAATACACAGCCTGGCATTGCCGTCCTCATGCACCATTAATGTCCCATGAAAATGTCGCCATGGATCCCATGTCCAGCTCCAAACCAGCTGGCTAGCTGGTTTGTCACCACCAGACATCCATTGTTTCGTGCAGGGTACCGACTCCTTTTGCAAAGGCCTGGTTTGGCCCTTAGACTCGTCATGACTCATCTCGTCTCTCGAAAGTCACAGCACGGCTGGATCTTCTTCAAGCGTGGCCCACGCGGCGACAAGGTCCATGTTCAGCTACCTCTTGGATCCTGGAACTATCGCAAAGGCACGGGCGCCTTGCGATGTGTATGGCGATGTGTCGCTGGTGTGATGGCAACCAGCGGAATGTCATGTTCCAAGTTGTTGTTGCAAAAAGAAATCAGAACTCATAACAATTCTAACAATTGCCAGGTGTTTTCAGTATACTGCATGATCAGAATCCAATCAATGTGGTGTCATAATGTTACTGCATTCCATCATGCTATACATCGCCCATTGCATTAGATCATCTTGTTTATCCATGTTCATCAGGTTGTTTCTTTCATGCTGTATATAATCACAGTGTATTAAATTAATTTCTCCACTGTGTTTTGAATCTCCACAGTTGCATCATCACTATTTTTGGAAATATGTTTCTTTCTCACTCACCAGTGGATTATGTCTTTCTACAAACAATTGTAGACTTGAGAGAAACGGGAAACTCGGGAGGCCACTCTATATAGAATGTCACTAGAAAGATCCAATAGAACACGGATAGTTTATCGGTAAAACCTAGCCTATCAGTCATATCATGCCATATCA